GGGGGCCATGGCCACCCCACTGATCTCTCCCTCCGGCAGGATCAGGAAGTCCACCTACCTTCGGCTGCAGCTGCTGGCCAGAGAGGAGTACAAGCTGAGCCTGCTGATGGCTGAGTCCCTGCAGTGGGACCGTGTGGCTCCCGTGCTTTACCATCTCCACCTGGAAGCTCTGGACCGGCGGCTCCGCATCGTGCTGCAGGCTGTGCGCGCCTGCATAGAGAAGGATGGGCTGGGCAGTGTAGTGGAGGACGACCTGGACACTGAGCACAGAGCCGCTGCGGAGAGGTAGTGACCCGCCACCCATGAGCAGAGAGACTTGGTCACATGAGCTACTGGTGAATTCAGTGAATTCAGAGACAGGAGGGTCGCACCCAAGTGGAGACCCACAACCCTTCCATGTGACCCCCGCCAGGACGCGTTTCTTGAGTCTTCGAGATGGGAGAGGCCAAGAGGAAGCGCTGTGTGTGCTCCTGGGCAGGACAACCCGTGCTTCCACAAGGTGGGGAAGCCTCTGCTGACTTCTGATTGAGATTTGAGTGGGGCACACGTGTGCCCAGGCAGCGATCCACACAGAGCAGGGTCACCTCCCCATGCTGTGGCTCCTGCCCGGCAGGGTCGCCGTGACATTGGATACGTTTTTATGCTCTGGACTGCATCCAAAATGAAAACCCCTTTGCTCCCTGCTCCGGGGCCTCAGACTTCCAGGTGGGAGAGGCTATCTGGGCCAGAGGCTTCAGAGGATGGCACAGCCTGTGCTTGGGCAGATGGGGGCCCCACTCAGCTCTGTGCAGCAGTTATCCCAGCAAACCTGGGCCTTCCTGTTGTGGCAGCGCCACTCACCGTTGGCTTTGCTTTGGACAGTGGCGTAAAGCCATCGTGCGGGGTCAGTGGGCACTGAGCAATAGGCTAACCCTCACAGCATTTTGTGGAATAGTTCGCAATGTGGTAAAAGTGCAATAAAGATACGGCAAGCGTGTGTTTCCAGCCTCGTTGGGGCGTGGCCTTCACCCCTGGCCCTGCTCTCCCTCCCAGAGAACCAGGCCTAGAGCCAGACATGACAGAGCTCCAACTTTCTCAGTGCCCAAGCACCCCTGAGCCTGCAGCCAGGAATGCCACAGAGGGATCTGTCTGCTAAGCCGTGGGGTAGACAGGATGGTGTGAGGCTTGCAGTATTAAGAAGCAGGGACACTCTCCAAGCCCAGCCTGGGCAATTTAGCAACTTAGTAGGACCCTGTCTCAATGAAAAGCAATAAAAAGGGCTGGAGCTGGAGCTGGGTGCAGAAGCCCTGAGTTCAATCCTTACTGTTACAAAAATGAAAGCAGGGGTCAAGGGCTGAGGAGAGGGCAGCACCATCCCACCTGCTGGGACTCAAGAGTCCTGAAGCCACAGGAAGCCTCTGGACCAGGGCAGCTGAGAGATCCTGGAGCCGAGACCACCCCTACTGAACCTTCAGGGATTTCTGGAGATCTCTGGCTCCCCCATAAAGAGGTGCTGCAGGGGAGAGGGGACTGACCCATAGGGGTAGGCCTAGGACAGGGTGACAGAGGGCTTGTCACACTGGGTCTTAGTTGAGGATCCTGGGCAGGGGTGTGACAGGCACCTCCCAGGTGCCCACTGCAGTGAGTGGTGGCTTTGTGGGCACCAGGCCTCTATGTATTCCTGTAAAGGTCATCACTGATCTGTGAGGCAATGCTGCAAGAGTGGGTTTATGTTTCTCATCTTATGGTTAGGAAACTGAGGCAAAGAGCAATGTCTGACTGCAGAGCCCGTATAGGTTCTTGGAACTGCAAAGCCAGTGCTATAAACTACAGGAGGCTGGGTGGGCTCAGATGTGGGCTCCACAGTCCCAGGCCCGAGAGAGTGAGAGGTGGCAAGTCTCCAAGTCCACCTGCTTCTCAGTGCCAGGCCCAGCACCCCGAGCTCAGGCTGCTCTGCTGTCCTGGCTCCTTTCTGCCAGGCAACCTCTGGGAACAGACCCACTCCACCATTCCAAACTGGAGAAGGTGGTAATAGATGTGGGCCCGTGTCCTAGCTGTTAGCTTACACAGCCCAGGAGTCCTAAGACATCAGCGTGAAAGGGGTAGACACCATACCCTTCTCTGAAGCCTTCCATGGGTCAGCAGACGGTGAGCCATGAAACCCTGTCCTCTCCCCAGGCTTCTGGGCCATGATGGGAGCACACAAACATGTAACCCATCACAGCAAGACCAAGGAGATGGAAAGGGGCAGAAGTCAAAGAGGCAGACGCGCCCCAGGGCATGAGGAAGGCACGTGTAGCTCTGCGTCCTACCTAGAACTCCAACCTCACGTGACTGGAGAAAGGGCTTCAAGGAGGTGATTCAGGTTAAACAAGGTCACTGAAGTCACTGATCTGCGGGGCTCCTTTATTGAAGAGATCAGGATACACACACGCAGAGGACAACTTCGCCAGGGAACAGCTCTGCTGCACATTGACTTTGGACTTCTCTAGGATGGTGAGGATATGGCTCCTACTGTGTGAGTCCCCCCTCTGATCCCTGCAGTGGTGCTAGCTGGCTGAACAGTGCCCTCCTCAAGGGACTCCCCTAGTGTCTGCAGGAGAAGGAGCCAGAGCACAGGGCAGGAAGGAGTGGTGTGGCAGTGTGGAGCCTGCAGGCCTGAGGGAGGGAAGGTACCAGGTGCTCTGAACCCAACAGTGATGTCCAGGTGCTTTGTCAAGTCTTCTGTGGAGGTGCTGGGATCAGGGAACACTGTCCTAGCCACCCATGAGCAGGATGTGAGTCAGGACAAAAGGAGAATGGACAAGGCCAGGAGGCAAGTACGGGTCCCAGGAGATGCTGGTCCCAAGGGACAGAACAGAGCCAGGGGAAAGTGAGACTCCTGACTCACCCAGGAGAACAAGGGTTGCCTGAGAGAGGAGCCTTGGGTGGCATGGAGACAGGGGCCTCAGAGCTGAGGTGGGGAGTGTCGGTGGACGTGGTCCTAAGTTGAAACACAAGGAGTGTGGCTAAAGTCTGTGACCCAAACTCAAAGCAAACACAGCCAGAGAAAGGTACAACGGTGATCTTTCTCTGGCCTCTGTGGACGGGGACAGGCTGTTTTCATCTGACCTATGATGTTATCTAGGACTTGGGACACTGGTCATCTGTTGTGTCATACCAATTTGAAGTGAAGTGTGAAGCACTGGGCCCACTGCAGGCCCAGAATGGCCACCACCATCCAGGATGCCCACTTCACAGCTTTGCAAACCAAGGCTCTATGGATGGAGACCCTGAACGGCCCACCACCCAGAACCTACTCCCCCACCTGTCCTCCAGACCAATGCCCCAGAGGAGAAGCCAGCCCAGTGGTGCAGAGACAAGCGACAGCTCCTTCCTGTGAGGCTGGAGAGAAGCCAGTGGGCTAGGATTCCAGTGGGATTTTGAAACACTGGAGAGAAACAGACCCAAACCCCTCCTCTGCTAGCCTGGGATCTAATTTGGGGGATGAAGGACCAGACAGCCACACTCCCCAAAGAAGCCCTAGGGTGGCCAGGGCAGGGACCCTTCTCCTTGAATCTTGGTACGTAAATGAACAAGATACAGTAGAGACTGGCAAATGACCTCCACCCTTGGGGCCACCAGGTACACACTGTGCAATGGCTGCCAGGAAACAGGGTGGTAGGGGACAAAGGAACCAACGAGCACTGAAGGACACCAAGCCATAACCCACATGAGGAGGAGCCTGCTGCACTGGCTGCCTGGGGAGAGAATGCCAGAGTTGCTGCTCAGAAATACCTCTGGATGAGAACCAAACCGGCTGCCAAAGGTCAGGTCCAGGGTTGTTTAAAGGGCAATGTGTTGTGGGCTCGGGGCCAGAGTGTGTCTTGGCACCTGAGGCAGGAGGAAGGGGTTTGCATGCCATGGCTGCCGGAAGGTGCCTGGCCTTTCTCAGGTCTATGGCGTAAGAGCCCTGTCTTAAGACCTTGTTGGTTCCGTTGGGCTTAGATGAGTCGAGGTGCCTTCTTCACTCTTCTCAGAGCTCCCCAATGAATCACTTGCTTTTAAAAGGGGTTCATGACCAGAAGGGGCTGCCACTGAAAGACAGACTGCCAGTAAGTAGAGTGGACCAGGGCCAGCTGGCAGGGGCAGTGGGGTGCAGGTGCCCGGGCCACCCTGCCCTTCAGCCTCATCCACCTGGCTCAGGGGCAGGTCTGCTGGCCTGTCGTGGGGCCCTGGGCCAGCCCATCTTCCCTGTCTCCCAGAACTCAAGGACCTTCCCCAGCCATGCTCCTAGCAGCCAGGAGTGGGTGTGGATCACTGTGGGCAGGTGAGCCCTGGGCTCATGCCTGGGCCTCTTGCGCCGCCTAGAGGACATCTGGAGAAAAGCAAGAACTGAGCCTGCAGAGGAGCAGCAGCGCTGACTGCTGCGGAGGCTCAAGTCCAGCCAGCCTTGTTCTGAGTGTCTCAGGCCGTGCTGGCCTCTCACAGCCAGGCCCACACAGGAGAGCCTTGGCCTGGCCCTGAATGGTCATCCATACCTAGCAACATACATCCTGGCACTCCGTGGAACCCTGCTGGATAAACAGTTCTCCAGAGCTTGCATCCTTAATGAGCAACGAAGATCTCCAGACACTTCTCAGACACGGGCCAAGAAGGTTGGGATTCATCTAGAGGGTGACAGAAGATATGGGAGGACTCTGAGCCTCCGGAGGGAAGCATGGCACCATAGGGCCTTTGCACGGCCACGGTCCCACCCCGGGGTTCGCTAAGCTGTCCCAACCTCCTCACTTTGTAGTTCCTATTCAGGGATTACCAAGAGAGGCAGACTGTGGTATGTTCTCTGGGTTTGATGAATGGGTGTCATACACTGTCTGAGATTCCCTGCTCAGGGCCCCCTCCCCACTGGCCTGGTTGCTCCATGGGGACAGCCTGCTTTTGCTCTGTGCCACAGCCTGACACAGTGGCCGGCATCTCACAAGTCCTCCCCATGTGCCCTCACCGCCCTGCTGCACTGCTCCTGGGCCTGTATGCTTAGGGGCTGGGTGGGCCATAGGCACTTCTGACCCACATCCCCCATAGGCCCCAGTATCTGTTACTCTGTGGGTCTTCCGACCTTGTGAGGTACCTAGAGCCCCAGGGAGCTGTGATCCGCCAGCTCCAGCCCATAAGGCCTGCAGCCAACCTGTGGGTCTTTGGAAACAATGGGGGATCTAAGGGATTAAGGTTAGGATGAGAGTTAAGATTAGGGGGAGAGGAAGAGATAGATTAGAAAACGCTGTGGCCTTGGTACTCCCTTCTGTAGGGAAAACTGAGGAACTCTCACCTTTGCTGCAGGCCCAACCCACCCCTTGGTGAGACCTACCTAAACCCACCCACAGCCCCCCAGCCACTATCCAGCCCATTGCTGACTCAGAACTGCAATCTTCTCCACTGGCTGAGCCACCCAAGGGGACCTGACCCCCCAGCCCTTCAGACAAGAAGGATGGGAAGAGGTCAGGCAACAGGAGCTACCAGGTGGGTGTCCAGGAGGACAGCAAAAGAGGTCCTGGCTTTAGCTCCAATGGCCCTTGGACCCCAAGGGCAGGTGCCACAGGGCTTGAGTTCTGACCTCCAGGGATCTCAGCTACAGTGGTCTGAATGCTATGTGGTAACAGGGCAAAGCTCCACTTCCCCCCGATCATGCCACTGTCCCCAAGTCAGGCTATAGGACTCCTTGTTCTATCTGCCTTCCTATGGGTTCCAGCCAGAAGAGAAGCAGGTGGCCATTCAAGTGAAGCCCCCAAAAGCTGCAACAACCAGAGTCCCAGAGGTGACCCTTCCCTTGTGGCCCTTTTTCCAGCCCTGGGCAGCTTTCCTGCTTAGAACACGGGGAGACACTTCAGGGCTACCACCTCCTCCCACAGCCTCTTCCTTCTCCAGCCCTGGGTGCCCCCAGGTGGCCATCCCTCTGGGTCTCTCCCATTTCCCTGTCCTGCAGTGTTGGCAGAGAGGTCTAGGGTGAGGCACGGAGCCATCAC